ATGTATGTATGTATGTATGTATGTATGTATGTATGTATGTACGTATGTATATATGTATGTATGCATGTATGTTGTATGTATGTATGTATGTACTTATGTGTGTGTGCGTGTGCCCATACAACGTTGCTCTTCATAGGGCAGTGCACCTCATTATATCACAAAACATAACCTCGAAAAACTAATGTATTTGTTCTGATCAACGTCGATGGACACAGCTAAATTTAATTATTATTCTCACTGGAAAAAAGACTTCAACTCGCTCCAACAACAAAAGCTTGCTGGTGCAACATAGACTCCAACAGTAGTCATTGTAACAAGCATTAGCCTTCCTATCGTTTGTCTAATACATTCTATAAACGTACATCATAAACAGCAAGACGACCATATCATTGACTAATTCAATTAACATATGCTTTGGTTAAAACAGGTCGTCTTTCTTAAGTCCAGCGCGGTGACACCTTAAAATCTTCGGAATATCTGAGAGGCATTCTTCGTGTGCCAGAGTAAGTCCGTTCTCCTTGATTCGTCGAAAATGACAGAAGTCGATGCATTTCGGCTTGCTGGATTTCACCTTCAGGTCTTTGCAGCATGGTCTGTTGTCGTACCCATTGCTGGCGCAGAAAATCAGTTTTGGCAAGTTGTCATAGGTGCAGGTACTATTTCCGAATAAGCCGTCTTTCTAAAAAGTCACGTGTCTCGGTAGAACTGCAGATCAAGCGTTCCGAGCAGATTCAAACAGTTTCAACAAAGGCCACCGACAATAGGTTAACGCAGTCATTCAACATGTTTAATTCCGGTGATCAGGTTTCTGGCCGTCATCTTACCTTGTGCATTGATATATCATAGGTGCATGCGGATTTGCAGTTGCTGATGCCAAGGTCTATGCAGCACTGTCTAAACGCTTTGTTCGATTCGTAAAAGGAAACGCATGGAGCGTACGTCGGTGGCTTTCCACATTCAGCCTATAAACCGCAAACAGATTACAGTAGATGGTTTATTTCTTACGTAATGAGCACGTAACGAGTCTATGATAAACAACATTTTTTTAATATACCGGGAAAAGGGTTTTGCGAAACGGTAGAACGGATGTTTTGGCAGGATACGTGGCAAGGGGGACCTATCATCGCTAAACAAGGGAGACTTATTGTTGGCGCTGTTATCATCGTCTGAGGCACCAGAATCAAAGACGGAGTACCCAGATTAAAGATGTGTGCATTGCATGGCATTAGACGTAGTTCCAAAAGGAAGCAAATCCCGTACGAAAACGCTAGTTGATGACAGAAAGAACTGAAGAAGTTTCTTAGAACCAAGTGCATAAGATTTACAGAAGACAGAACTTAACGGGATAAACCTGATGAGGACTTCATCGGATCGAGAAGGGCTAAAACCTGCTTCGAAACAAATGTGTGATTGAGATGAGTGCGCCGAGTACAGTAGTCAAAGACTACTCGGACTAACAATTAACGTGTCATATATAAGACATCTAACAAAAGTAGATGCTGCTCTTTGTTTCTGTACAGCGGATTCTACTAGAAACTCAGATGCTTAAAAGACTCCTGAACGCCATGTGAAATTTTTTTGCGCGGAACTACGCGTTTTCCTTCCATCTGTGATGTCTCTGAACG